GTTATTCAATTAATTTATGTATCTGAAAAATCAGCAGCCGAAAATATTTATATATAAAATAACCAAACAATTAAAATGTATGAAATTTTATTAAATAAAATTAGGCCTTTTGATTCTCGGTTACAAAATTGCACCCATAACAAAAATAGCAGTATAGAAAAAAATACGGAGGAGTACAAGCACGCTTTAGCAGTTGGGACCGTTTAAAAAAGGCAAGACTATGAAAAGCATTTCCCGCGGAGAAATTTCTCATTCGCCTCTCTCTCTCTCTCTTCTCTCTCTCTATATCCCTAATAACAACGCCCGCTTTTATAGTCTCCTCTCTCACTTGCCTTCTTCAAGCCGCTGCGTTTCATCCAAACAAGACGCTAAATTCTTAAAACCCTCAAAAGACTCTAGGTTTTTTTCCTCTGTTCTTTTGCCCCCAAGCTTTTCCCATTGAACGATGGAGCTCAGGTCTCGTACCCCAGGTTCTTCCTCTTCCAAAGGTCTGTTCTTTTTGCCTTTTTCTTGTTACGTTTGCGCCTTTGATGGCATATGTGTGTGTGTTTGTGCGTGAATTTGGGTGGGGTCGAACTGGGATTTCGTTTTATATTCTTCTTTCTTAACTGTGATGATGGGATATAAAAATTCGAGTTTTTGAGTAGGTAAGGAGAAGCTCCAGTACACAGAGAGTTCGGATGAGGATGATTATGGTCCGATCTCTTCGGATTCGGACTATAATGCTACGGTTGATGGAGGTAATGTCTGTGGATGTGTTTATTGCTTTGATTCGGTCTCTGGATGTTTGCGTGAGGATTCATTGTGGTTTTGAGTTTTTGGTATCCGTCTGGTGAGTATTTACAATAGAAAAAAAAAAAAAAATTGTTTTAATACCAGATAGTGTCTGTAAAGTGGGTGATGCTATATTACTCACTTACTCACTGTAAAACTAGGATAAATTAATGAGGCTGAGACCGGTGAACTTATTATTTTGAAGAGTTTTCAATTGAGAAAATTGCCAAAATATCAATTTCAGGATAAGAGTTGTTTTCAGTTGTTTTTCTAGTGGTAATTGACAAAAGGGGCATTTTTTGTGAAGAGAAAGTGAAAAGATGTCATTTTTCCATATTTCTCTTTTCAAATAGTCGAGTGATAACTACCCTTTCAAACAATGTTTTACTCTTGTTGAGGGCTCACTGGTAAAGGAAGTCACCCATTATTTTGGTGAAAGTGGGTAGGAGGGTTCACGTGTTTGTATATCATTTTCTCTGTTGAAGTTCATAATTTATATGAACCTTACTCTCCTCCCTAAACTCCGTTTATATGAACTAGTTAGTGTTCACTTTTTTACTACAGGCGAAGGATTGTCGAACGTGCTTGAAGACCCTAGTGGGGAAGAGGCTGTACACTTAACTTTTTCTTCGGATTTTACATCTGAAACTAGTGATGATGAACTTCAGCGTGTCTCGAAAAGGAGGAAAAGGAAAATGAATACCTCTAAGAGTGGAGAAGGACCGAGTCACAATGTTCAGGCCAACTATGAAGGAAATACAAACACTGTCGAGATTAATTCTAGTGGGATGAAAGAGAAAAAGCGTGGGGGAAGAAGGAATAAGAAGAAGAAAACTGATAAACCCATATTGATGTGGGAAGTACAAGAGGAGGAGATGAAAAGATGGGTTGACGAGAATCTTCTTCTCGACACAGACTTGACAAATCAGAATGAAATCGTGACTGAAACTGCAAAGCCTTCAGATGACTTGATAATACCACTGCTCAAATACCAGCAGGAATGGCTAGCTTGGGCTTTGAAGCAAGAGGAATCTAATGTTAGGGGAGGTATTCTTGCAGATGAGATGGGAATGGGAAAAACCCTTCAGGCAATAGCTCTTGTTCTTCTCAAACGAAATATCTCGAGAGAACTCGTCCGGCAGCAATTATCACCTACAGCCTCACCGAGTTCTTCAAAAGAGCTACCGGCAATCAAAGGCACACTTGTCATATGCCCATTGGTTGCTGTCATGCAGTGGGTTAGTGAGATCGATAAATGCACTTCAAAAGGAAGTACCAGAGTGCTCGTCTACCATGGCGCTAACCGAGCGAAAAATCATTACGAGTTTGCCGACTATGATTTTGTCATAACAACATATTCGATTGTTGAGAGGGAATACAGGAAGTATGTGATGCCTCCAAAGGAGAAATGTCATTACTGTGGGAAATTGTTCTATGAAAATAAGTTGAAAATTCATTTGAAGTATATGTGCGGGCCTTTTGCTGTTAGGACAGAAAAGCAGGCAAAGCAGCAGAGGAAAAATCCAAAGACGAAAAAGCCGGCGGACTCTGAATGCAGTAAGAAGAAAGGAAAGAAGCATGACAGTATTGAGAAGGAAATGGAGAATGACTATCCAGAGGAGGTTACGGATGAAGAAAGGACGATTTTGCACTTTGTGAGGTGGGAGCGAATCATATTGGATGAGGTAACCATTATGTAGTTTGCCTTTTCCTTTATGCATAGAATGGATGATTCATTCTATATGTAAGTCCATTTTCTTTGAGATTGTTAACAGTTTCCGCATGTTATGCAAGGAAAACAGTTTCCCTTGTTTTCCTTGCAATATGTATTATTTTTTCCATTTCTTAGAAGAGGGATCTTCATTATCTATTAACAAACATCACATCCTTGATGTTTTCGTATTATATATGTAAAAAAAATTGTAGTGTCTTTGCAGCATTTCCTCTGCACAACTATTTATCATTTTGGAGTAAAATGGCCTCAACCTATTTAATCCATTATTTACATTGAAACATGGTTATAAAGTGGTCTGTTGGTAACTGTTGTGCAAATATGCTATTTTTATTTCTTACTAAATTTTCCAAGCTGTAACAAAATATGGTTTGTTTTTCTCACTACAGGCACATTATATAAAAGACAGGCGCTCTAACACAACTAGAGCTGTCCTTAACTTACAATCTCGTTATAAATGGGCACTAAGTGGCACTCCCCTTCAGAATAATGTGGGAGAGCTCTATTCTCTTGTAAGTTGTTGAAGAGGCTTATCCTGCTCCAAGTTTTCTGGTTCAGCCTAACAAAAGATATTTGTACTTTGTGCAGGTTCGGTTTCTGCAGATAGTTCCTTACTCTTATTACTTGTGCAAGGACTGTGATTGTCGTCAACTTGATTACAGGTAAGCTTTCTGCAGATAGTTCACATTTGTTTCTAGTCTGACTTTCAATTCCGTTCAGGCTGTGCTCATAAATATTTGAACATTGTATATGATGCAGTTTAAGGAATTGCCCAGGCTGTGGTCATATAAATTCTCGGCACTTCTGCTGGTGGAATAGAGTAAGTAATTCAACAAAAAGAAATTTTTCATCTCGTTGTATGCTGTATTTTTAACTGTGATTGAATGTTGAGACATTAGCTTGTTAACTGTGTCAGTATATATCTTCACCAATGAAAGAATCTGGAAATAATGGGCGCGGCAGAGAGGCCATGCTTTTGTTGAAGCACAAAATTCTCAAAAGCAGTGTGTTAAGACGTACCAAAAAGGGCAGAGCTGCTGACCTGGCGCTTCCAACTAAAATTGTATGTTACTCTTGTTAAGGCACGTAAATATGAACAATTAGTATGGTTTGTATTTTAGTATACACCAGAAATTTTAAAATTCAGGTTACTTTAAGACGCGATACCCTGGATGTTGTCGAAGAAGATTATTATACTGCACTGTACAAGGAGAGTCAGGCACAGTTCAACACGTATGTAGTCTCGAGACTCTTGACTTTATCATTTTTCTTGTTATTTAGGATTATTAACCTGCACATAAATTTCAAATACTTATTTAGGGAGCTGAAGATTTGTCCAAATTTCAATGTAAAGTGTTCTGAGGAAACAACTCATTTGGACACTTGTCCTTTTGCTAGAGTTTACCTTCTATAGTTTCTCTATTTCTAATTGAGCTAAATTAAAATATTTTCTGTTTACAGATATGTTGAGGCTGGAACAGTATTGAATAATTATGCCCACATATTTGATTTGCTAACACGCCTTCGACAGGTTCTGGGATCTTGCTGCCTTTATATATCATTGTTATGACTTGTGCTTCTGTTTTCAAGGCTTACAAGTTATATGGGCTTTGTTTTATTACTTTTATTACCTTATCTTAGCATTTCAATACATTCCCAGTTTAGGTATATAGTGCTGAGCCAGTTCCCTTAAACACCTTGCCTCAGTTTAAAGAGTACAAAGCTGTTTATTTTCTTCCCAGTTTGTTCAGAGTTTATATTCTGGTGATATCATTGCACAATAACCTTTGATTTATCATTTATGCTTAACTGGTGAGCGTCCTATGCATCATGAACATGATTCTTTGTAGAAATTTCGACGTAGTATTTTCTCCTTCATTATCATGCAGGCAGTTGATCATCCATACCTTGTGGAGTATTCACTTTCTGCAATGGAAAGGAAACGTAAAGCAGTTGAAAGTAGCAATGATCAGATATGTGGTTTATGTCATGACCCTGAAGAAGATACAGCGGTGAGTGAGTTTGAATACAATTCAACTGTGTAATTTTTATTTCTTCTTAGAAATTGTAATCCACCCAAGATTTTGACTAGATTTTATTTGCATCTGTATAATGTCTCTTCCTTTGGCTCTGTTTTTGTATTTCAGTTTTTTCTGATTTTGAATTTGCCACCTTTAGGTTGCATCATGTGGACATGTCTTCTGCAGAGCTTGTTTGATTGATTTTGGTACTAGCATGGGGCAAAACTCCTGCCCTTCTTGTTCAAAGCCACTTACTGTTGATTTCACCTCGAATAAAGATAGCAAGGAGCAGAGTTCGAAAACAACTGTCAAAGGATTCAGACGATCAAGTATTCTGAATAGAATTCAGCTCCATGAGTTTCAGACAAGTACTAAAATAGAAGCCTTGGTATGTATGTGCTCATAATTCCCCTGTTCCTCATAATAAAAGCAAAAAAATGGAAATGAAAATAGAATGCAACAATGAATTTAGGTATATCCATTTTCATTCTTTCCATCTTTATTACAGAAAGAAGAAATCAGGTGTATGATTGAAAGAAATGGTTCTGCCAAGGGAATTGTCTTCAGCCAATTCTCGTCTTTTCTGGATCTCATACACTACTCCCTTCAAAAGGTGGCCTTGCATGAAAACATGTCTCTTTATTTATTTTTATTTTAATTTTTATTTTTTGGCTTTCATTAGTACAAATTAACTAAATTAGCAAGATCAAGTTACTACTTTCTCTTGTTTTCCAGTCTGGAGTAAGCTGTGCTCAATTAGATGGGTCCATGTCCATGGGGGCCCGAGATTCTGCAATTAAAAGATTTATCGAGGACCCTGATTGCAAAATCTTCCTAATGAGCTTGAAAGCAGGAGGCGTAGCCCTCAATCTCACAGCCGCATCACATGTAAGAAATCTTTTTTTTTTTTTTTTTAATTATTTTTATCATATCTGAGTTAAATGGTGTTTTTCTGCCAGATCTTTCGTCATTCATTTCGGTTGATTATTGCCACTTTTTTATAGGTTTTCTTGATGGATCCTTGTTGGAACCCAGCTGTCGAGAGGCAGGCTCAGGATAGAATATACCGAATAGGACAACATAAACCAATCCAGTAACTTGATTGATTTTCCTCGTATATGATTGAAGTCGGTATTTTTGGTGCTAACTTATACGTAAATTCTGTTTTCAGGATATTCAGATTTATTATTGAAAATACTGTTGAGGAGAGGATATTGAAGATGCAGGAGAAGAAGGAACTGATGTTTGAAGGGTAAGTTAGTGTCGATGGTTTTCTGCAAAAACGAAATGTAATATTTCATTTCTATTTCCTTCTACTGTTTTGCTTGATTTTTATTTGAATGTATTCATTCATATTTCTTTTCCATTGTTCCAATTGATCGTTTGCCCCTTTTTTTCCTTGTTCTTCGACATGATTATTGTGCTGAAGGACTGTGGGAGGATCTTCCGAGGCTCTATCGAAACTGACCGTTGATGATTTGAAGTTTCTGTTCGTGACATAAACGAACATGTTCGTTTGTCAAAGTACCGGATTCTGAACTACATTCTGTTGCTTTCGGTAGAATAAAAATATTTTGCAGGTCAATTGATTTGGATTTGGAATCAGCTCTGCCAAATAACTTGATCCTCAGTTTATGTCTTTACATTGTTCAATGATTATATATAGTTCTTAGATTTATTAAATATAATGGTAAAATTAATATAAGAAACTTAAATGATTGACGAGTGCTAGTAGTTTTTTAAAAGAGAAATATTGATGTTAGGTTGTCTAACTATTAGATAATCATATTTATGGTTGTCTAACCATTATACAAGTTACTTTATTAGAAACGTTCCTCGTACACACAATCGGCAGAAATTCTATGGTACCCATATGGGTACCATAAGCTATGCCACAATGTGATGTGGCAATATGATGTGGCTTTATTTATTATTATATCTCTCAATTCCAACATAATTGGGTAGCTTTTCTTTTATTAAGATTTTCTATACCAATTTTATAAAACCCTTATTGTTCCAAAAAATCAATTCAGAAGTCGTTTCCCCAAATTCACCTCACCTACGCCAGCGACCGGTGATTTTCCGGCGAATTGGTGGCCGCGACTGCGGTATGCGATGGCCGCGACTCACTCAACTTGTCGACGGCATCGTCGTGGATGCTTTTCCGCGGGAGTTCGAGCAGTTGGGGAAAGGGCGAATCTCGCTGCATAAGGTTTGGTTGCCGGCGAAGCTTCTCCATCTGTTGGTCTGGAGCTGGAGTGTGATGAGGCGGGTGATTAATATTGCTGTGAAGGCGAATTCGGTGCTGATGAAGATTAATACTACCTGCGATTAATATCACCATAGTGATGGCGAATTCGGTGCTGCTGGGAGGTGGGAAATATGAATGTGAGGTTGCGATTTGGGTATGAATGAATTAAGTTTCTTAATTGATTAAATATTTAAAAAAACCCACATCATATATCCATTTTAATATTATGCCCCAATATTTAATTTATGGTCATCGGGCCTTTTGATTTTGATCAATGATACTACCATGAACTGAAGCTACTACAATGAACTGAAAACCGTGGAATTAAAGTGACATAAATACATTAACAGAAGCTACTACCATGAACTGAAAATCTCGATATGAACTGAAAATCTCGATATCATATACAGAAATTACAGAAAAATTTCTGATATACAGAAATTCTTGAAGAGATTAAGGAGCAGGAGACCAATAGGGAGGAAGCTCTGACAGTTTTGAAGAGATTTTAAGATTGATTCTCGATATTTTATTCGTGTGAAAGTTTTATTGTTATGGAAGCATGATTTTGGGAACAATCCTATTATGAAGGGTGTCTTAATTGATTAAATAATTAAAAAAGCCACATCATGCTATGGTGGAATTAATAATTAAAAACAAAAAAGCCACATCACATTGCCACATCACATTGTGGCATGGCTTATGGTACCCATATGGGTACCATAGAATTTCTGCACAATCGGGCCTAAACACGAATATTCAAGCCTAAGAGTATCTTCAATGTATTAGGTCTAGTCTTGCTTATGTGGCAAATAAATAAACCCAAGTCTTAGATGACATGGATAAAATTATGTAAAATTAATAAAATCTACTCCAATGCAAAGAGACTAGGTCTCTACTTAGGTCTAAAATAGACTTAAGGGGAGATCGGGTTTCTTTTTCTGGTTGTCACATCAGCAGGACCCAGTCTATTTTTATTTGCATTGGAGAATATATTTTTTTAGACTGAGTCTATTTCTTATGTGGCATGTAATTTTTTGGGATTGAACCCAAAACATTATGGATGCTCTAAGTGGCCGTGCCTTAAGCCTTTTACAAATCTTGGGCAACAATCAATTTTTAAAAGAAGCAACCAACCATACTACGTTACAAAGGTGGGTATTATCGTGCTTCGATACAAATATATCCTCAAAACAAGTTTTTTTGGTTAATCATGATTAATTTTAAAAAAATTATATAATTAATTGTTAGTGAGATTTTGAGTTTAGATTAAAATAATATTTAAAATAAAATAATTCTATTAGAATAATATTTAAAATAAAATAATTACAAGTAAAATAATTAAAAAAATTATGCTTAAAAATAAAAACACCAATAAAAAATGTTTGAATTTTTAAATACTTTTTTTTCAATATCTGTATTACTATTTAATATTTATATTTATAATAATACACATCACTTATACGGCTAAATATCTTATATTGTAATATTTTTTAAAAATTATATCATTTAACAACTTTGTAGTTAAATTAATTAAATAATTTTCTCTTTTTATTATTACTATTAGATAATATATTTTTATTATAAATAAAAATATAATTATTTATTTATTTTCTATGTACAATATATGTGTTAAAACGAAACTCATCAAGACATGAGTAATTTGATATATTATGTATTAAAAATTTGATATATTATGTATTAAAAAAATATGAACTTTTAGATTTAATTATAATTTAAGTTAGTATTTTTTTATAATTTTAAAAGAAAGATGAGGAAAAAAGAAAGATAGAAGAAAAAGTTATGCATAATAAATCATATTTATAATAGGAAATGTAACATAATTAATGTTCTTAAAAATGATCATAAATATCTAGTATATTTATGGTTATTATAAATCTAATTATTTTTTAATTAAGAGTAAGTTAAAATTCATCCAAGCCAAATGACAAAGAATGAAAATTTTCCACATAAAATCCCGAATAATGCAAGTCTGTCACTTAGGCTCAACACATTCGCGGACTATAAATAAGAGAGATTTTTCACAAAAAATGTTATCCATTGCCCCTCCCATTTTTTATTTTTTTCTTTGGTACAATCTCGTGGACAAAATTGAAAAACAATCGTTATTATATCACCTTCATTCACAATCTCAATTTTGTCTCTCTTTTTTTAAAGTTATTTTTTACCTCATTTTTTTCAAGCGAGACAATTGTTTTTCAAAAAAATCTTACATCCAATTGCTCGGGCATGTGTCTTGCTTATAATTGTTAAACGAATGAGTCACTCCTAAATTGGGCTTTAACTCATTAAGGCTCGTGCTCAGTTTTCATTTAATCGGCTCGTTAATGCTAAAAAGTGAGAGTTTTTACTTTTTTATGTAATTGTATTGACTTGTATTTGGGATCTCATCTATTTTACTTTTATCAGCTCCTATCCAATGAACTTGGCATGGACAACTATTGATAATGCACTTCGGTCCTTGAAAGATATAATTTCTGAACCGGTGGTTCCGGTCCAAAAGTGAGTTTTCCAGTTGGCTTGCCAACTTATTCCAAACAGGATTGGGTCTAACTCGGAACCAATGGAGCACCATGGTTTTGTACTTGTGGTTCTCAAGCTTGTCCCACAACAATTGACTAGTTAAGTTACGGTTCACCCTCAAGGAAGTCTAAATTTTCCCCAAAATCTCGCTAGAAGCCATCGTAATTACAAATAATGCCGCTATATAAACTATTGTTGGTGGTCGGTTCCTACTGCACTGCACTCTGCTCGACAGAAGGTGAAGGTATGGTTAGATTCCACTCTTCCTCCCGTTAACATCGGCCGTGCTCCGACAAATAGAAATCTAGCCGAGTAATCGTCCATGCCTTCCCAAAGGGTCGCCGACTACAATATGTTTCCAACTTTAAATTTCTAATTATTTTTGTCTTATATTAAACAGAAACCCTAATTTTTGTCTCATTCCAGCTTCGGTTTTGCAGTTGTGCAGGTAATTGGAGAGCTTCATCTTCGCCAGATCAGTTGAGCTTACTGACAGGTAAAATATCTGGTTGCATTTTTTTTTTTTCAAAGCTAATTGGTAGTGTGACTCTTTGTTGCAATGTGTTTTATTAGGTGACATGTTCTAGATTTAATTGTGGACATATCATGTAATTAGTAGCCCTTTAATCTAATAATGGAAGTTGTAATGCCTCTAATTATGCATCTTGAACTGGATACCTTAAGCAATAGTTGCCTGTGAGGATGATAGACAGTTTCGTCTCACTGTTTAAGAGCTGATAAGAAAAAGTTCAATTTTGGGTTGTTACGAACAATGGTTAATCAGTTTGCACGGATACTTACTGATCCTGTTGTGATACACGGTCTCACTTTACTGTTTTTTTTTTTTTTTNGGTTTCGTTCTTATGCTCGTAGTTTTAATGGACGAAGAAGAAGAAGTGGAGTTAGTTGTTGTCATCGAGGTGGTGGTCACTGTGATTAAAATTTTCTTGTTTTTCGTTCAAGTCTACATACAAAAATTTCGTCCACGTGGGCGAAAGCGAACTCGAGCATCGTTAGACATGGAAGACCGGTTCATGGACGTGATGGAGTCTTTTTGTGCGAACATGGACAGTCAACTGGCAGAACTTGTGAAGAGAATTGGCTTCCGGTATGACGCGAAACAAAAAACGAAGGCCATTTATGAAGAGATAAGTGGGATGCACTTTCTATCTGCGGAGGACAAGGTTCGCGTTTGTATGTACTTTTGCAAGAATGTGGAAGTGATGAACCTATTCTCTAGCATATCATCCGAAAACAAAACTGTTATGGTTAGGATGATCCTCGAGGGTCGGCTGTAGAAGTAGGTGCAGGGCTATGTTAGTAATTTTTTTTTGTATGTGTTATTATTGTGGCTCGTTTAATGGTAAGTGTTTAACTTATGAAAATGTAAATGTGTTCAGGCAGCAAACTCAATGTGTCCTTGATGTTGTAAGTGTGTTTTGATATAGACCAGGATACTAGCCCGCTGCCCCCCTTAAATGTATTATTGCCATGCTTATCTTAAGTCGATCGTTTGGAAAGTTTTGTGTACTAACTTGTTTGTGGAGACAAACATAAATGGCGTTATTTTAAAGTTCAAACGATCGTTAATCGTATGAACTAACACTGTTGTGTTGTTTGTTCAACTTTGGTTGTGCCTTCTGGGACATGGACGTTTAATGTGTCCCACATGAATTTGTGGATCTTAGCAAAGTATACGAGCGTTTATACTCTAATTATTACCAATGTTTTAGTAAACTTTGTTCAAATAAAACTAACATGACCCACAAGCTGGTGTTAGTTTCCGCTCTATTAAAAAATGAGACGACTGTATATTATCGATATTTTCTTTTATTTTCGTCTGAAATAAAGTGCATCGTCCCTCGTCCATCATCGGTATTCACAGGTTATATACAATTGGACATACTGATCCCTCGTCCATCATCGGTATTGACATGTTAGATAGTTTGGTTATAAAATAATTATTGTTTAAGTGATAATCATGTCTAAAATTCGATATTATCAATTAATAGTTGACCAAATCGACACGATTTTAGAAAATTGATTATCGTTCAAATGTGAATATGTGATGATCAAATATAACACTTCAGCATCCCAAATTCGCCTTAGCAACTACTACTTTTCAAAATTACTTTTCCACATCAAACCAAAATATTGCCCTTATGCCCTAAAGGCCGTGTTTAATTTCTCCATATTTTATGTTCCGAAAAAGCAACCTAAAAAAATATAAATAAATAAAAACTCTCCATTGTCATTGTTATTTTATCTGGTCCGACCTGTAATCGGTTTATGTAGGATTTGATCGACCCAAAATCGAACCCAATAAGTTCGTCGAACGCCAAGATTCTCACGTTATGTATGCGAACGCCGAGCCGAGCCCAATAAGTTCATCATCGATTGGTCTATGTATTCGAACGTCAAGATTCTAACACTCTATCTTTTATTGTTTTATTTTTTTCTATTTAAAAGTAAAATTAAAAATATATGTATATATTTATGTAGTAAGTATTTACTACTAAGTATAATATTATTAAAATGTTGAGGTATCACTTAATCAATTCACATATAAATTAATTTTAAAATGATTATTTACCGTTAATCTACTAATCATTTACAATATTAGTTAATTTTTAAAACTAACAACTCAACTCAACAATTGACTTAGTAATTTGACAGGCAAATTTGTAATCCAAAGGTCGTCGGGTGATTATCATTATCTGGTCGGATCTGAATAACAACCATTATCATAAAATATAAATAAAAAAAAGAATATTAGTTTGCAGCGATTAGACAATCATACATTTTTATTACATGATATGTAATGTAATATTTACAAAATATATATATAATTTAATAATATAAGTATATATTTTTTATTATGAAAAGTACAACGAGTCAATCCCTCTAAATATATAGTTTTATTATAAAAAATATAATGAGTTAATTCATCTAATGTTGGACAAAATGTCTCAAAATAATAATTTGTGGAAAAAACAAATATCAATATGTAACGTAGGCGCCGGCTCCATGTGGCCACCATAAGCAGTTAAGCACGCAAGACCTGCTCTGATGGCTGATGCCCTACGCATAAAATCATATTCGCATCACTACCAAAAATAAACAGAGTCCCATTTTTCTTCACTCCCTTGCAAATCGCACTATATATTTTACTCTCCTTCATCCGGCACACCGCTTGAGAACAGTTTGTTTCCATCGTCATCTTCCAATCAGTCCCATACTCCCTTGTCCCCCAATCTTTTTGCAGGGGTTACATGTGCTTGTCGCCATTGATTGTGAGATCGCCATGTATATAACGAGTGGCACCTCTGCGCTTCTCAGGAGTGCTTCTTCTCATTCTTCTTCCTCTTCGCGTGCTGGGAAAAGGCTCTTTTCCTCTCTCTGTGGGAAGCCCGCTCCCCCTTCGCCTTCGACTGCCGGTGCCGGTGGTCTTTCGCGCTCCGTTGGGCGGCAGCAGCAGCACCGATATCTGAGCTGTCTGACGCTGGCGCGGTGGAGCCACGGCGTTGACTGGAAATCACCCTCGAGTCTTGCAGCGCAGATCAGGATCGCATCTGGGTGTTCGGATAACCTGTTGAGTCGAAAGATCGCTACAATGGGTGGGTAGCCTTGCAACTGTAGGAATTTTGTTTTTGTTCTGTTTTTGTGCCAACTTTTGAATGAACTGCTTCAGTTTTTGTGATGTGTGGATTCAACTGGTATCACCTTGCCTGCAGGGGTGGTGGAAGTGTAGAAAATTGTGTTTTTGATATTGAAATTATCATTGGTAGTGATATTGATTGATCTGTGGAACTTTATTTCTGTTTGAAATTGTTTGCTTGGTTTTCACGTATATAAGAATAATTGTATGTGGAAAATTTTCATTTTGACACTACGGACTTAGCCTAAGTTGTTAGCTTTAACTACTGGGAAACTAAAGTTGGTGATATTGACGTAATTTCTGCCTCTGTACCTGTTTCTCTGTGATGGAACTGAAGTGGACATTCGTCCAGTCTGTTTTATATTTGATTCACTTTGAAAGGTAAATTTGATTTGGGTTTACTTATTTATTTTAGATGTTCGTCATTTGTATTGTATTTTACATGCTACTATTTAGTCGAGAGCTGTCGTTAGTATTGTATGCCATACATTGCAAAATCATATCAGAAATTTTTTCCATTAGTTGTTTGGATGAAAGAAAACTGTGGATCTGGATCATTGCATCACATGAGTTTATTTTGGTATATAGAAGACTAGTTCTTTCTCCACCTGCTTTCTTTTTTTTTTTTTTCCCTGGCTGTTGTTATGTGGAATGATTTAGTAATTCTTTACTCACGTGGTGTTGTTTCAGCTTCTGAGAACACCTTCAAGGAAATTTTCACCATTCTTCCCAAGCCTGGTGGTGGTGAATTTGGGAAATTTTACAGTCTGCCTGCTCTAAAAGATCCGAGGATAGGTAACTTATCCTTAATATATTCTATGTTATCTCATTCCGTTTCAAATGTTATATATCTTATATTTTGACAAGCTGATTGATATGATCTGAACTTATTAATTATTAAATTTGAAATTGATGAGAGCATTACTATTTCATCGCCATTATTTTTACTATGCATAGAATGGTATTTGCGCGAACGTTAATGTTACAATGGTGGTTTTTTTTGTGCGTATTCTGTCACTACAGATAAGTTACCATACTCTATTAGAATCCTCCTTGAATCCGCGATACGTAACTGTGATGGCTTCCAAGTAAAAAAGGATGATGTGGAGAAGATTATTGACTGGGAAAAATCTGCCCCAAAACAAGTTGAGATCCCCTTCAAGCCTGCTCGTGTACTTCTTCAGGTATTGGTCTTGATTGCACTTAGTTGACTTAGATAATTATTCTATAGCTCCTTAGCTGATATCTGATTTTTTATTTTTTTTTTCCTTTGATGCTAGGACTTTACTGGTGTACCTGCTGTTGTCGACCTAGCCTGCATGCGTGATGCTATGAATAAGCTTGGCAGTGATTCCAACAAAATCAACCCTTTGGTAAAGATTATGCTTTATGTTTCTATTTAGTAACTAGAAATTTTTAGCTTCAGTTTTTCTTATGAGATATTGTTGCTGAGCCTATGGTGTTTCTGATAACGAAGATACATTCCCATAGAGAGATAAAAAAATGGCAACAAGTCGTACTCATTAATTTACCATAATTATGACAATTATGTCATTATTTGGAGTAAATTCGGTTAGCGTAAGAAAGAGGAATACCAAGGAATAACATTGTGCTTAATACAAAGTGAGGAGTGAAGACAGAAGGAACACAAAGTTGTTGACCCATGATTTCTAAATCCAATATATTGGATGGTTGCAGGTTCCTGTTGATTTGGTTATTGATCATTCAGTTCAAGTGGATGTTGCGAGATCAGACAATGCTGTTCAAGCTAATATGGAGCTTGAATTCCAAAGAAACAAGGAAAGATTTGCTTTTCTGAAGTGGGGATCTAATGCTTTCCGGAACATGCTTGTTGTTCCTCCGGGATCGGGTATAGTGCACCAGGTATTGGAGCACAAAAATAACAGAATCAATCTTATTTCAGCGCATGAAATTGTTTGGTATGCACCAGTGTTATCAATTGGTGGCGCCACGGGATTTTGGCCTGCCTCCATTTCCCGCCATACGCCATTGATAACACTGGTATTCGGCTATTCGCCAACTATCCATGTAGAATAATATGTTTGTTACTTTCTTACAATGATGACATTCTGCAAAAGAGTAAGTCTTTAGTAGGCATTACTTTGTAGTCTTTACTTTGATCACCTTCTGGATTAACATTATAGAATCGTTTCCTGTGCTTTGTTTAGGTCAATCTCGAATATCTTGGACGGGTTGTCTTCAATACTGATGGCATACTCTATCCAGATAGTGTGGTTGGGACTGATTCTCATACCACCATGATTGACGGGCTGGGAGTTGCTGGTTGGGGAGTTGGAGGCATTGAAGCTGAGGCAGCAATGCTTGGTCAGGTACGAAACTGATATGGGTTGAGTTTATATGGAGGCTTGGCTCTCTGTGTGTGTGTGTGTGTGTGTGTGTGTGTGTGTGTGTCAGTTCTCTATTCCATATTTATGGCTGAAGGAAAATTTGTTGATCAATTTATTTGGTTTTTTCATGCTTATATCTGCAGTTAATTTTTATGTTATGTGTACTATTCTCCAACTGCTTCAGTGTTCTGTCTCCATGCTTTTTCCAGTTTTTACTCATGCCTGAAGTTACCACCTGTACCTCAACATCATATTGAGATTCATAGTGATATATTCTACTTTCTTATGGGATTTGTATTAAGATGCTTGTGCACCGTGCGGTTAAATCTATTATCTGTCTGACAGCCTATGAGCATGGTATTGCCTGGGGTTGTTGGATTCAAATTATCAGGAAAACTTCGGGATGGGGTCACTGCTACTGACTTGGTTTTAACTGTCACACAAATGCTAAGGAAGCATGGTGTTGTTGGAAAATTTGTTGAATTTTATGGTAATATTGCTTAGTCTTGACTCTTTAGTTACTTGCACTCTTTATGAGAGGACCTAGTAACTAACATGCAATTGTGTTCAGGTGGTGGTGTGGGAGAAATCTCACTAGCTGACAGAGCAACCATTGCAAACATGTCTCCGGAGTATGGTGCCACTATGGGATTCTTCCCTGTGGATCATGTCACTTTACAGTATCTGAAATTAACTGGCAGAAGTGACGAGACTGTACGTACATTTCACTTGCATATCCTAAGATATAAAGGAATTACTTCTATGTATGCCAAGCAAGTTAACCCCGATACACCATTATTCAGGTGGCAATGATAGAAGCTTATCTTCGAGCAAACAATATGTTTGTTGACTACAGCGAGGTAGGCATTGATTTGGATTGCTATTCATATCATTCTTGGTTAGTTTTGTTGATTTTCTGAAGAATTCGATTTTTATTTTTCCTTCAAATATCAGCCACAACAAGAAAGAGTATATTCATCTTACTTGCACCTGGATTTGGCTGATGTTGAACCATGCATTTCTGGACCCAAGAGGTGTGTTCTGAGATTCTGCACTCGTTTTTTTTCCTTCT